AATTTTTCAATCATCTCAACTTGCAAAACCGATCCATCCAGTTCACCATGGAAGTGGAAGCTCGTACAGGTTCGAAATGGTAAAATAACACAGTGTTTACCGAAAGAAAACGCATACTGACGCCTATCTGAATGCAGAGTCACACCATCACCCCGCACAGAAATTTGCTCTTATCAAGACGCTCATTCATCAAGCTAAGAAAGTGTCAGATGGTGACAGTCTGAGAAGCAAAATTCAACATGTTAAAGAAGCGCTGCAAATGAACGGTTACAATGATGCACAAAGCAACAGGGCATTGAGTGCCAAAACCAAATCAAATAACATGAGCATTGAAACTGCCTAAGTAATTAAAACAATCAAAATACCATACATTGCGGGAGTAACTGCTAAACTAGCCAGATGTTTGTAAAAACAAAGCATCCGAGTCAGATTTGGCATGGTACATAAAATACAGAAATTAATATCTGGTACAAAAGATGTATTACCGAAGCTATCAACAGAAGGTGTGTACAGGATTAACTGCACTTGCGGCAAATGTTATGTTGGGCCAATAATCAGCACGAGACTAAAAGAACATCAGAGAAATATTTCCCAAATACAACTGTCAGCAGTAGCAGAACACGTGTGCCAACAAGGACACGCAATTGAAAAAAATAAAAATAATTTAAACCGTTCGCATAGCTACCGACTTAGTGCTGCATGGAAGCGAATCAACTAATACATTGTTTGAATGCATGCCTATACAGGGCACCAAACTTGAATAGGGATTACCGTTGGTACGGCTATTTTAATACACAATGTAGTGGATTCAACTGAGTCGCAAACGTACTCTTTGGAGGCAACACATTTATTAACACCACCAAAAAAGGGGTAACTGCCCCTTTACCAGACAACAGCTTATGGTGGTGGACCACCAGGCTAACTACACTAAATACATTGGGAGTAGTGACAACGGATAGGACCCCGGCTTGGGTCCAGGTCCACGTGTTGGTGACTCTTCTCGGACGTAGAACGTAGAACGTAGATCTTCAGGATAACAACAGCAATGCTGAACCCCGGTCCCTTTGGGGACCCGGTTTATATCCTCACTGGCCGTGGCTGGCTCCGCCCTTGGCCACGACCACCTTCTCGAATCCTCGAGCAGGATCTTGCCCCGACACGTGACCACCCCTAGCCCCCACCTAGGGCCCCTGTGTAGACTTTGCCCGTCACGTGCCTTCTGGGGTCAACAAAAGTGCCATGGCCTACATTAACCTTATTCATGGCCGGCACCCTCACACCCCCTCCTATAGGGGACAGCACTGCACGCCGAGCGTGGTGCCACTCAGCACTCTCTATCAGTGCTCACCGAGCCCCTCTAGGGCTGGTACTACACCCACATCGTACGGGGTGTCCGCGATGGCAATACATCCAATGCCGTGCCTCGCTAGAGCCGGCATTACCCAGTGACATCCAAGATGCCGCTGCATACGTGATGTCCGCCATGTAAGTACATCGCACGCCGTGCCTCTCTAGGGCCGGCACCACACAGTGATATCCGTGATGTCACTACGCACATAATGGACAGGAAGGACAAGAATCAAGGGCTCGGATAATGCCCATGCATAATGTACGTTGGCTCATTAATCCCCCCCCCCTCCCCCACTTTGCACAAGAGGGCAGAAGTGTGGTTACTACATCTACGCCTCTATATAAGGAATGAAACAAGTGGACTGGCTGTCGCCTGATGAAGCTAGTTGTAATTACTGGCGAAACGTCGTACTCAGATTGTAAATGTTGTTGCTTGGCTCTCCAACACACCGGTGTGCTGTACTAGTGACGAATTAGCCACGTTCTGTTTACGTGACAACCCTTACTAGTTGGCTGTGCCGGGTGGTGGCGGGTTTTAAAGACACATTGATATATTTACGCGATCTAACCCAAAAAAAAACCTCTATTATGGAGGAATCACCATGTGCGTGTTAAAATGACATCCTCTTCCCTGCACACACGTTGCATACAAATGTATAGGGTCCACCGGTCTGCAGACATTTATTCTAGTTGTTCAATTGTCGCTTCGACTGAAGTTCTTTAAATGGGGCGACGTGTCTAGTTTATGTATCCTCGGCCAGGGGCTGGAGAACACTGCGATGCAAGACGGGCAACAAATGACGGACAGAAGCGGGTTTCTCTTGAAGCAAACACGCTGAGATGTGCGCCGCATCACGCGCATCCGCGGTAGACGAGCGGGAGGTGTTATTTATTGGCAGATCTGTGAAAAAGAGCTTTATAGCTCATCTGATTCCTGCAGTAAAAATACATAATCTGATTCTGAGATCTGGATAAACTGCCACATGATAAGATTATCCCCTTGCCAAATAAAAAAATGTCCCCCACCAGATATTTCTAACGATTAACTCTGATAGTAGGGCTCTTTGAGATGGCGTTGTCATACATGTTGGGTTAAGAGTTTGGAACACATATCCTCCCATAGGTTCCGGTTAGTTGTCCTCTCAAGGGTAGAGTTAGTTGTAATTACGCAACTCAATCATCCCCACGGCCTTCTTGGAGTGCATAACTTCAATAGCATTATTGTGCAAAATACTTGTATTTTTTTAAAGTGGAGATTCAGGTATACGATGGAGACATTGCCTGCGTATCTGTCGTGTCACTTATATTCTCCACAACGACGCGTATGATGAGTTTGTGTTATCAGAATCAGAATCAGAAAGGGTTTTATTCGCCATGTAAGTTCACACCGACACGGAATTTACTTTGGCAGGATGGTGCATACATTCAACATATAGGAATCTAAAATCTTAAATAAGTTTTAAACAAGTCTTACTATAATAAGGGTTAAAAGTCTAACACTAAGGGGCTGAAGTATATAAAATTAAATAAATATCGAATATAAAATAGCTTTAAGATATAATTAAAAAATACAAATAGGGAAACATAGTTAATATCAGCAACGTGTCGTTATGTAGATCAAATGTTAAAAACAGTGTTAGCCCTTGGCCTTGTTTAACAGGCCAGCAGCAGATGGGAAGAAACTGTTTTTATGGCGTGAGGTTTTGGTCCTGATGGACCGAAGCCTTCTGCCGGAGGGGAGTAGCTGAAACAGAGAGTGTCCAGGGTGGGAGAAATCGGCCATAATCTTCCTCGCTCGCCTCATAGACCTTGTCGTGTGCAGGTCCTCGAGGGTCGGTAGATTGCAGGCAATTACCTTCTCAGCAGTGTGGATGATACGCTGCAGTCTGCTCTTGTCCTTGGCAGTGGCAGCAGCGTACCAGACGGTTATGGAGGAGGTGAGGATGGATTCAATGATCGCTGTATAGAATTGCACCATCATTGTCTTTGGCAGGTTGAATTTCTTCAGCTGCCGTAGAAAGTACATCCTCTGTTGAGCTTTCTTGGTGAGGGAGCTGATGTTCAATTCCCACTTGAGGTCCCGGGAGAGAATAGTGCCCAGGAAGCGGAAGGACTCTACAATTTTTACTGGGGAGTCTAACAGGGTGATGGGGGTGAGTGGTGCTGTATTCTTCCTGAAGTCCACAACCATCTCAACTGTCTTTAGAGCATTTAGCTCTAAGTTGTTCTGGCTACACCAGGTCACCAGATTGTCAGCTTCCCACCTATAGTCAGACTCATCCCCACCAGAGATCAGCCCAATGAGGGTGGTGTCATCCGCAAACTTCAATAGTTTGACGGACAGATGATTGGAGGTGCAGCTGTTGGTATACAGGGAGAAGAGCAGAGGGGAAAGGACGCAGCCCTGAGGAGTTCCGGTGCTGATGGACCTGGAGCCAGAGACTTGTGTTCCCAGCTTAACGCACTGCTTCCTGTCAGACAGGAAGTCTGTGATCCATGTACCATTATGTACCCAGTGGCGTCACTAGGGTTGGTGTCACCCTGTGTGGTAACTCATGGTATCACCCCTCATGGACCTCCGCTCGTACCAGACCATACAGAATCCTTAGTATAATGTTTTTTGTACTAGTGACATAAACAACTAGCAAAATTACATTTTACACCTTTAAATTACAATATTTCCTTTAATTACTAAATTCTCAAAAAAGTTATTGATAGAGGTTCACAAATACTAAATACCACAATATTGTAGCTAAAACACCAGAAATTTTGACAAAATCAGCGACTATAAAAACACGAGCAGGGACGAAAACAACAGCACGTGCTCGTAGCGTGTGTAGACGAAACCACGTGACTTGAAGCGTCACTGGAGTTGGGTAACAATGACGGCTCTGACCGGAGGGCTTTAGAAGGTTTAAAAAGTAAATTAGCATAGAGTTTTAGCCCTGTAGGTATATTTGTACAGCACATGTAAGCTGGGCTTACGAAAAATGTTTTTGTTGTTATTACTAACTACTGGAATATTTTTTTATGAAAAATAAATTTCTCCTGAAACACTGCACAAATATTTAATAGACAATAATTTTGGTGTCACCCCTTTTTGTTGGTGTCACCCGGTGCGGTCCGCACCCCCCCGCACGCCCTTAGTGACGCCACTGTATGTACCATATGGTGGGGAGCAGTCATGCTGTGGTTAGTGAGCTGCGCTACGAACCCGGCCACCCGGGTTCGATTCCCGCTCACGGCCAACACCGGTGGCGATTACCTGAACCGCTCCTGGGCCTCCCCTAGGTCGACTCAGCCTCAAATAAGTACCTGGTGCGGTGCGTAAAACATCGCCACTGGGGAGACAAAGGCGGCCTGGCGTGATGCTGGCCACCCACCCCTTCGTGTGCCGTGCCTGCCTTCATAGGTGCTTGCCAACAGTCTGTTAAGTCATTTATCCGGTGGAAGCATTGTTATTGATCTGTCACGTGACGTGGGCACGCTGTTGTGCACAGGGCAGGAAGTAGTTCATTATGGAATGGGATAATTATCACAAAACCAATCAACACCTGCACAGATTTCACATACCACGTCTGGATCTCAAATATCTCTGGGTTCCCGAAGTGGGAAACAAGGGGAGGGGATGGGGACATTTTCCTCCCCCCCCCCGCTCAACAACGTCAACAAACTGCAAGAGAGCAGTGCGGGAAGAATACAAACGTCGTGTGCTCCGTGGCCCCTGGGTGCCAGCTGGCGTTCCTCCTCGGGGTCTCATCGGCCGCGGTATGTGTCGGTCAACATCGGGGGCCCAGGCCGGTTATAGGGGAGGCGGATGGAAGGCAGCGGAGGGGGTGGTGGGATATGCGTCGAGATGAATTTTGTGTTGACTGCGACGCGCGCCTTGATGTTTGATTTTTTTCTCTCGTAGGGCGAAATAAATTCGCGTGCTATTAATGAACTCTCTCCTGAAATGAAACAGATTATGGTGGTGGTGATTATGATGATAATGCTGTTGCGTTGACAGTGGTGACCCAAGAACCCCTCCCCCCCCAAAAAAAAAAAAACACATTTGTCACTCAATACACATTCTTCAATAATTGTATAAGACAGCGTTATTGACAAATGTGGTGACGTTTTTACATCTCCTATTCATGTGTAACCGCAGGTCATGGAGTGGGGGAGTATATTCAACAGTTTGGTTTAACAAGATTCGCATCGGGCTTATACGCACGTTTAAGGTCACACTGCTCCACGAACTAATGTTAGCCAGTGGCGAGGTAATATTTGAAACCGGACATTTCCAACCCCGATAACCTTCACCACCCAGTACTGATGAGTGTGGTCAGATAACCGGCATGGCTCACACGGCGATGTCGAGGCCTTCATCCAGCAGCGGATTGACAAAGCATTGTAAATTGTTTCATTTATTATTAACTTGCTTTACTACCCGGCTTCGCCCGAGACTTGAATTTTTGTCTTGGATTAATACACGGCCTACGCGGAGGGTGGGGGGGGGGGGATGCGTGACATCAGCAGGCACACTGCGTGACGTCAGCAGCCGCATGCGGGTGACATCACAGATGTGACGTCACCGCTCACTTGCCGTGCAAAATATATCCATTATTGCAACCCCCCCCCCCCCAAAAAAAAATACAAAAGTCTATTTTTATACTTGTTTGCATTGTGTACAGTCTGGAAGCTACCCACATGCCACATTTCAAGTTTGTTGCATGTTGGGAAGTATGCTAAACATTTCTAACAGACACACATTCACAAATGCCCCTTTTATATATACTGTATAGATAATCTAAAGCTAATAGCTAAGGCGTGGACAAGTTACACTGTGTACAATACGCCGAGGACTCCGGAATGAATGTTCTATCTCTGTATCTTTAAACCTTTTTGTTAATGAATGGCTCAACCAAAACTCTTAATCTCCTAGACATTTTAATGAATGACCGAGACCTCCATGTCCTTGATTTCGAAGTATTCCCTGTTAATTAATTATCTCATCCGAACTATTCTCTCTGGGCCGGACCCGATAGCATTTTAGAGCGGGGGGGGGGGGGGGATGGCTTTTCTCTCGGAGTTAATTCAACCCTCAATCATTGTACCCCGTATTATTCGACATGATGTCTGACGTTTCGCTCCACCATGCCGGGGAGCTACGAAAACCTACTTAATATTATTATCAGCCATCACTGCCCGATATGATCACTAACATCATCACAACGACGATCACACACACATACAGCGGCATCAAAAAAAATACTGCCCCAGTGCCATCGGCTGGAGGAGGCGGTCATAGCTGATGAAGATTTAAGAACCAATACTGACCGTGCGCGCGTGGCCGTCAATGGTCAGAGTTGCAGCTCTGATAGATACACAATTAATAAATGAATCAATAAGGACGGACCAAAACCCTGACCTCATGACTCCTAGTCCCCTCATTAGCAAATCATTAACCGCCCTCGGCACGAGCAATCCCCGGTGTGATTAGGGAATTAAATAAAAGCACGGTGGGTGGGTAACGAAAACAGAAGCGGACCGACTACACTCGGGGTGCGATGTGGAACCGCGTTTTGGGGCTGAGAATAGCTGATGCTGGTGATGATGGTGATAATTATTCTAAACACACTCAGTTTGTATTGTTACTGGAGGAATCCGCTGAGCTTTATTCATTAGGGACAGGTCGAAAAGTTACAACAAACAATACGAATACACGATAGGAGTAAAAAGTAGAGGAAAGCTAAACAAATAACTCACAAAACTAAAAATAAACTATTTTTTTTTATTTTGCCAAGTATCACTGAGCTTATTAGCTTCTTTTTCAGAAGCGACCTGGCCACAAATGATCGCTCACCGAAGTGGCTTACCATGTGGAAATGTATAGCGGCCAAATAATCTAAACAATCTAAACTCTGTTGTGGCTGATTGATGTCGGCAATAATAATGGCACTTGCTGCTGACGTTGAGTTGTTAATAACGATGACATTGTCGTTATTGATGCAACTACAGTTATTCATTGGTGGCGATGATAATGATGCTGATCTTGCTGACCCCCCCACCCATACTGGACATCTGTGAAAAAAAGAGCTTCATAGCTCATCGGATTCCTCCTGCAGTCTAAATGCAGCTTCTGATTCTGATCGTTGCTTCCGCTGATGACGACGATGAACTTGTTTTATAGCCACCGCTTCTACAGTAGGCGGCTGAGACCTGGTCACGTGAACGAACGAATGAATAAATGGGTCAATGTGTTCCCTTCATGGCCCATTTCCAGGGCAATGGGAGGAGGGCGAGAGGTCCGCGCCTAGGTGGTGAGGGTTGGGGGGGGGAGGAGGTGGGGCGCAGGAAAGGAGCGGCGGACAGCCGGGGCGGCCTCTTTGGCCTCAACCCCAAGATCAGGCCACGGGGAACGCCGCGCGGCTCCACGTGCACGCGCGACCCCGTGGCAGTGTGACGCACGCGGCCACACGGGTGGGCTTCCATTGGCTAGGTACACGCCGCCCCGCCACGACGTTCGACCTTCCAACCACTCCCCAACGAGCACGCGTAGGCGGAGGAGGCCACGTGGACCACACGCGCGGTGCCACCGCACGCACAAAGTGTACGCGACCCCACGGCTACAACACGGCTCCCACAGGTACACGACAGCACCACGCAGCTACGCGCAAACTCGCACGCGTACACACGCGAGACCTCGTGTGTGTATATAAGGACGCGCATCCGGTGTGAGTACTGCGCGTGTGGGCGAGAGTGTGTGTGTGTTTTAAATTCACGATCGTGTGCGTCGACCTCGAGTTCAATTCCCGAACAGGGGTAGCATCAGCGGTATATGGAGTCTCGGTATACCCAGCCATACGTGAACAGCACACGATGATACGCGTGTTATGTCAACATTGTGTGTTATTTCGACAACGGCGGCCGGGCGTGCTGATAACGTAACTACGTCGTCATTTGGTCTGACCATGGCCTGAACCTCTCTTAGGTCCACTCAGCATAAAATAAGTTTAGGTTTAAGTCCATTAGGTTAGCTCGGTGAGCACCCCAGGGGTTCAGGATGGCTCTCAGTTTTCAAGCGTGGCCTGGGGCATTCAAATGCCGGTAGGGGACGACGATTGCTACCTCTGGGTGCATCATCCCAATTGAGACATTTGCGAACTTATGGACCCTACACTTACGAATGACGTCACGGGATCTCTAACGTCCACGTGTGAAATAGACGTCGCTTGTTTCTCAGGTAATGACACCGGCAGTAATAGACCACGGCGGCCTGCTGGATTCCCACCGTGGACGTCTTCAACGAGAGAAGTAAATGGGGCAGCGAGACGTCGTCAGCTCATGAGGCAGTACAGCAAGTAATTTACTGAGAGGCTTTGCAGTGTGGCTTGAGCGTTCTCCCTTTGCGTGTGTGTGGGGTTTCTCCAGACATCCCAGTTCATTCCCCCCCCCACCCCCCTATAAATTACTGAATTAAATCACGAACATAAATGCTGAAGGGAATTCTTATTTGTGCTATGCATGAATTCCTCACTGCATCTCGATAAATTATACATTCTAATTCTTTAAGCGGATAAGAGCAAGCTAAGCCGTTTCCAAAACAGCAAATAACTACAACGGTACTATGTTGGCAAATTACAAGTGGGAATGACTGCATATTCATATTTAAATCTCCCATACATTAAACGTTTGTTCTTAATTTAATGAAAAGGGCAGTCGGCCGAAACGTTGATATCTCAGTAAATAAACCCTATTATCGCCGCGGTGGCGAGATGTTAACTACCTCGCCTGGTATACAGGAGGTCGTGTGTTAAATCCCGATCCTGACGCCTATATATTTCGAGTTCGCATATGTCTCTTCTCGTGGTCGTGTGAATTTTTCTCAGGGTCCTCCGGTTTTCTCTCCACATTTTAGAATCACGCGTTCGAGCATTTGCCTGCTATAACTTTCCACGTGATAAGCCACTTCGCTGGGCTATCATTTGTGGCCAGGTCACTTCTGAAAAATAGCTATATAGCTCAGTGGGCCTTGCCTGGTGAAATAAAAAAAATCTAAATAGTTTATGGTTAATGATCGTTTTGAATAAAGCTGGCACTGACTGTAGATTCAATCAGTCGTGGACTTTGTCCAGATTTTAATTGCTTTCGCGTCATGTTTCACTGGAGGCGCATTAGTTCACTGATGATGTTGATCGTACGTGTGTTGCTTTAATTGTTTAGCACGAGGTTTTAAGCAATGTAGAACTTTAAGCTGACCCGGCCCCATGAGTGAAACCAATCAACAATTGGGCAGTCATTTTTTGGGCACCAAAATTCTGTTTTGTCGTGATTAGATTTCTTGAGTTCTTCGCTTACACTAAGCTATGTTTGCGCCAATGTCATCCTCGGCTTTTCTCGAACATTATTGGAATTTACATCGGTCGCTCATTCAGGATTCCCACCACTCTTAGAAAACAAAATTAATTAGCTCACAAAAGAAAATATATCCGCGCGAGCGAGGCAAATTCAAAACATTGATATAAAATCTTTTCACCACCTTCACTTATTGCTTGGGGACACAGTTCTGTCGCCTTGATTGCATCTCTCTCACTCCGAACCAAGTGCAGAGCGGTGTACAGAAATACATGGAAGCTATTGTTGTCTCACACCTTCCTCTATTGCTGTTTGGCTTTGGAGCGGTCCCAATGGAAGTGACTCATCAGCCACCACGTTTATAAACTTCACCAGGAGCCCTGAAGACGGCTCCTGTGAATGAAGATGTGCCGCTCTGACGTGAAGCCCTCTCTCTGTCCCAAAACATTGGCAACTGCTGCATGATTGAACCATCCCAACGTTAGCTTTGGACTTTCACTCCATCCACTCTGTGGATGGACACTGCGCTTTCGAGTAAACCCATCCACCCGAGTTCAATTCCCCTGTCGTGGCCAACACGAGTGGGCGAGTGACGTCTGAACCGGCCTTGCCATCATATTCGTGCATCGCGTGTACTTGTGCATCAGTTGCATCCCTTTCATTAATCCACGACTGTGCTATTAGTGGACGAGGGTCATCGGTGTTGTTTGACCATACTTCACCACACTGGTCACAGTTTGTGTTGGTAAAGGCAGGGCAGCACACACAAAGTACAGCAATGGATGTTTCTGCACTTGTCCCTCTGCTGCCCATGTAAGTTTCAGCGCAGCCGATAGGACCTGATTTGCATGGACAATGTGTTCCCTGCCCGTGTTTGTCTCTGCACATAAACAAATAAATCAACATTTTTTATCTTAAAAAAATATAAACAAAATTTATTGCACATCCCATCTGTCCTCTCTGAGTGCTTTTTTATTTTTGGCATAAGCATTGGTTTAATACAAGCAAATCTGGACAGTTTTCAACATTCGGTGTCTGATCAGCAGTCGGCTTGCATAGACCAATGCTGGTGAACTGCCAGATGTTTATACGCAAGGACCCTCTCTGTGAGATATGGGGCCTAGTTCAACGCAAAATGCTAAAATACAGCACGCAACTTCTAATCTCCCCGAAGACGATAATAATTATTTAGATTTTTGCGAAGTTATCCAGACTCAACTATTGCTTTAGCTTCCGAAACCTGACAATATTGGGCAAATTCTGGGTTATCTGGTGAAAAAACCTGTCGCATGGAATTGTAAATGTTGTAGGTTTACTCTCCAACACACCGGTGTGCTGAACTAGTAACTAATTGGCACAACTAGTAACTAATTGGCACATTTTGTTTACGTGACAAACCTTACTAATTGGCTGTGTCAAGTGGTGGCGGGTTTAACGACACATTTATAATTGTGCAGTCTAACCCAAAAAAAACTATGATGGTTAGTATTTTATATTTGCAGTTTTCGGTCACGCCGAATTCCTCAACGTTGCAGTGAATGATTGAATGAGCATTTAATGATAAAATACAATCGTTACCCTAACCTACCACCTTCCGCACAACCACGAGATGCACGCATTTTAGCTGTGCGTTATAGCCGGCAACGTAGCAATAGCCCATAACTTGGAGGTGTGAGTGGCAGTATTCTTTCCGTATGTGGTCCGCAGCTGATCGGCAAAACGTTTATACGTCCATGGCCGTTGCTTGCGACGAGTAGACGGCTTCATCAGTACCCCCTGGGGAATATCCGGAATGCGAATGATCGCACCGGGGTAGTGGCATAACCTGGACCACCTGGCAGTCCGCCACTGCAAGTGGCCACGGAGGCCCATGTTGAGTAGCCAACGGGGCCCATGAAGGAATATTTAATCGAGAGGGCACAGCGCGTACCCTCGGCCTCCTGCAGTGGTGGAATGTTGTGGCTCAGCGCAGGCTGACCGAGCTAGTGTCGGCGTGAAGGGAAACGAGTTTTTGTTATTTATGGCTCAGGCGAGATAAAAAAAAAATACTCAAAACATATTATTGTTTTCTATTTTTATTATTTTATTGTTTCCCTTCTACGTGACTTTACCGAAAGAACCAAGAATATGAATCCCTGCAGTCACGAAAGCTTTAAATCAAAATGTAAAACATATTTTGTGATGTTTTTTCCCCACCACAGTGCTTCTGCGCCGTGCGTAGTGACGCGGCTCACGCAGGTGAGGTTAGCAGGTGAGAGTGCTAATGGAAGGCAGGGGACACCAACCCCGACAAGAGGATGGAGAAGAAAATCCACGAGCAGCACAACGGCGAGAAAATCGATGGCAGCACGGAGACCCACAGCGAGAGCGACGACAGCCACAGCTACGGCACTCAACCGGGCTGGGAGGCCGAGACACACGGATGGCACCGGAAGATGAAGCTGATCCCAACCGAGCTGATCCACAGGGAGGTCTGTCAGAATGGCACGGAGACCAGCCCAGTCTCACAAAGACTCACGGAGACCAGCCCAGTCTCACAAAGCATGACGGAGACCAGCCCAGTCTCACAAAGACTCACGGAGACCGGCCCAGTCTCACAAAGACTCACAGAGACCAGCCCAGTCTCACAAAGACTCACGGAGACCGGCCCAGTCTCACAAAGACTCACAGAGACCGGCCCAGTCTCACAAAGACTCACGGAGACCGGCCCAGTCTCACAAAGATTCATGGAGACCAGCCCAGTCTCACAAAGGCTCACAGAGACCGGCCCAGTCTCACAAAGACTCACGGAGACCAGCCCAGTCTCACAAAGACTCACAGAGACCAGCCCAGTCTCACAAAGACTCACGGAGACCGGCCCAGTCTCACAAAGACTCACGGAGACCGGCCCAGTCTCACAAAGACTCACGGAGACCGGCCCAGTCTCACAAAGACTCACGGAGACCGGCCCAGTCTCACAAAGACTCACGGAGACCAGCCCAGTCTCACAAAGACTCACGGAGACCGGCCCAGTCTCACAAAGACTCACGGAGACCAGCCCAGTCTCACAAAGACTCACGGAGACCAGCTCGGAGCCACACTGCTCGTGGAGCGACCCTGGCCGGACGTCGATGCTAAGGGACCCGAGTGGCCCGGGGAGCTGGGCCCCTCGCCGTCTCCTTGGCGGGGCCCTCTGCGCACTGCGGCTGCCCTCTTCACAGTGACGCTGGCCTACTCGGTGTGCCGCGACGTGGTGCAGCCCTACGTGACTTCGGGCCGCTCGGAGGCTCACCGCCTCCCCGTACTGATTGTCAACCGTGCCCTGCCCGCCACCGCCATCTCCCTGCTGGCGTTTGCCCATCTGCCCGACGTCCTGGCCCGCCTCCTAGGGGTGCGCGACCATGACAGGTCGGTGGCTCGCACTGTCCTGAAACACCAGGGGACCCGGAGACAAATCCACACGACCACGGGGAGAGAGGCACGCAAACTCCAAATATATAGGTGTCAGGGTCAGGGTTGAACCTACGAGCTCCCGCATACCAGGCGACGAAGTTAACATCTCGCCACAAAGTGCCCCCACCCCCCTCCCCTTGTGGTCTGACACCGATCCCTGTCGCCTTACGCCTCCACGTGCCTGCGACGCTTCTCGCACTCGGTCTCCCGTGATGCAGTCCGGGGGAGTCTCGGTGTCGCTTGAGCAGTTCATGTGGCGACACGTCCACCAATCACAGCCCACCGGCAGCAGAACCTCTGAAGTCCCAACAATCTCGATCTGCCACGGTTGGCTACGTACGGTGCGAAAGAAGTGCAACGTGCGTGCATGTACGCATGTACGCTGAACTTCCTTCGCACCGTACATAGCCGGCCCCTCGGCGCCCGGGCCCCTCAGGCTCACGGGCCCCGGTGCAGCAGCACCGCCTAGCACTCGACAGCTGCTACGCCACTAGACGGTAGACTCGCACACAAACACACAAGCCGTGCGCAATATCCCATTGCCCCTAGGCTGCCGAGTCTCCGTGTGCGTGGTTTGCAAATGCTCGTTGCATTGGTTACTGGCAATACGTGAAGGGAGATGCGAGTAAAATGTGAGGCAGGGTTATTCATTGCTGTGAGAATGACGTTGACACCGCTAAATTTGAACGCTTCGAGGTGACATTTGTGTAAGTGACCAAATCACAATTTGTCTTCTCATCTTGAAACATGACAAATGTATTAAATCATAGTTTGTTATTTATTATTAACTATTCACCATAAACATATCCATAACCCCAACCTACACCATTAACCCTATCCCGATGCCTGTATCGTGACAATGATAATTTAATTTTATCACTGAGTCGATGCATCACTACCTGCCTAACTATACACCCAACGCTCGTTCCACGCGGGTCACAGAGCCAGCTGTCGATTGGCTGCAGCGATGTTTTGTCGCAGCAGGCACCGTGCGCCTCCGTCGCGCTGGCTGACGCGCTGGCTGGCGGCGCGTAAACGCCTTTGGCTGCTGGGGGCCGGAGGGGCGGCGCTACACGTGGCCTACAGCCTCTCCTACCCGGGCCGCCTCGCTCTCCGCTACAAGATGCTCGCCTGGTCGTACAAGCAGGCATGCGCCGCCCCCTACCACCCCGCGCCACCCTGTTTCACCCTGTTTCACCCTGCACCACCCCGCACCACCCTGTACCACCCAGCAACACCGTGCACCATCTCATACCACCTGTCCCATCTTGCATGGCTGCACCCTGTCCTGCTTTAGCCTCCGAGACGCGCGATTTGGCCGGGGGGCGCTTGTGAGGAGGAGCCCCGTGCATCCTAAACCCTAACGGGAGTACGAGTGCCGCACCGGGTGCGGGAGTCGAACCCGGCGCGGATGGCTCACGTTTACGCGTGCGCATGCGCCGTGCAGGTGCAGGAGGGGCGCGCGAGCTCGTGGGACGAGGAGGACGTGTGGCGCATGGAGCTGTACGTGTCGCTGGGCGCGATGGCGCTGGGCGCGCTCTCCCTGCTCGCCATCGCACACCTCCCCTCCGTGCGCGACTCGCTCACTGGTCGCGAGCTCGCCTTCCTGCACGTGAGTCTAGCCAGGGCGGGGGGGAGTTGGTGAGGGCCTCATTGACAAATAGGGCTTCGAGTTTATGTATTGTACTATACACTGGTAGATACGAGGAGATGCACATGGAGACAAGAAGAGAGAGACAGACGCAGGGAGTCAGAGAGGGTGCCACGGTGGTGAGATGTTAACACTCTCGCCTTGTATGCAGGAAGTCGTGGGTTCAATCCCCACCCTGAAGCCTGTTGAATATTTGGAGTTTTTAATGTGTCTCTCTCGCCGTGGTCACATGGATTTTTTTCTGGGTCCTCCGGTCTTTCCCTCCACATTTATAAACGTGCTTTTAAAGCATTTGTCTGCTGTAAATATCCACATGATGATAAGCCACTTCGTTGAGCTATCATTAGTAGCCAGGACGCATCTTAAAAAGAGCTATATCGCTCAGTGGACCTTACCTGGTAAAATAAAAATAGCATGCGATAGAGGGTGGGAGGGGGGGTGGCACAGAGAGCATTGGGGCGAGGGAGATCGTTAGGGTGTGAGGCTCAGAGTAGCTTTCTGTGGATTGATACATCGCAGGGGCTCAAGATGTGGCGATGGCCTGGAGATGCCTTCATCCAGCGGTGGATAGAGCATGGCTGGTTCTGTTGATGAGAATGGGAGTGTGCACTTGGAAGCAATTTTCCCCGCTAATGCCCAGTAGCTGCAGGTTGGGATTGCATGACTGTGCCGAGCGGTGTGGCTATGGAGCGTACGGGCGGTGCAACCGCACCGGTAACACACTGGCCGGAGAGAGACCCAGGCGACATATAACGAGAAGAGTGGAAAATTTGGACAGTGCCACCCATTGGCCCCGATGCCAACAGTGCTGTGCCACCAGGAGCGCCATGCCGGTGGCCGCAGGGCGAACAACGGGAGTGGTCAATGGGGAGTGCGAGGGATCGAGTCGCGGTGGTGTTTGAGACGCTCAGGAGGGGAGGGCTGAGGCGTGAGATGAACACGCGAGACTCGGAACGTCTGCGAAGAAGAAAACTCCTGTGACATTGTCACACGCAACTTTTGTCAACGGCGCACCAGACCTGTCGCCCCAAAGCCACGTTTTTGTTTATTCTCTCGTTAACTAATTAACGAAGCCTCTTTGCCTCGTAGCTGTGGTTTCAGTTTCCCAACCGTATTCTTTCTTGTCACCAAATCTCAATGGGCTTCCATCCACACTCCCACCTTGTTAAACCTGGTGTACGGCTCTGTACACCTGGCCATGCTTACACAACTGGGCCCTGAGGCAATGGATGAAATCTCCCCCCTTCCCCATCCCGCCGTGTTCCATGGACGTATGTACGTTGAACGTCTGTCGCACCGTACGTAGCCAACTTGTGATAACCAGAGGTGCGGGGGAGGGACAACAACAACAAAAGCAGTTCTAAAGAAATGCGTTTTCAATCTAGAAATCGGCGGCGATGCCTTAGGGCGGCACTGCCAGCGCTTGCCTCTCTCTGCCTTCCCTCCTCTCCGCAGCCCGGCGCCTGCGCGCCCTCCAACTCTTTGTGCCCCGGGTGCAGTTGCACAGCTTGCACTCTTAATAGCAATGCCACCGTCTGCAACCGCACATCTCTCCCTGCACCTCCCACGGCCCCCCCCCCCCCCCCACCTCTGCACCCCACTCCCGGCAGGATCGGCTGGGACCGCTCGCCCTGCTGCTGAGCGTGGCACACACGGTCGTGTACGGCTGGCGTCGCTGGCTCGACGTGGTCTCCTACGTGTGGTGCACTCCGCCCGTCTTCCTTCTCGCCCTGCTCGCTCCCTGCAGCACCCTGATCGGCATGGCCCTCGCCGCCGCTCCCTGCTGGCGCAGACGCCCTGCCCTCGACCGCGGAATCTGGGCGGAGGAGGAGGAGGACGAGGAGGATGACAAGGAGGATGAGAAGAAGGACCTGGGACAGTTCCATACGGATCAAGATATTGGGATAGAGATGGTGACGGCCCTTTAATTAAAATACAACACATCAGAATCATAAGCTTAATCGGAATCAGCATTTTTATTTCCAAGCATGTCCAGCATTTGGTCAGTCGCCTATGACTAAATCACCCGGACTGTGCCATATCTCAGAAATTAAGCAGGCTTGAACCTGTGTAACGCTTGGATGGGTGACCACTGTGCACAGCAGAGGGGAGTACAGCAAAACACATGGTTGCTCTGTGCTGTACTTAGATGCTCCCATAGAATTACAAGTTTGGTTAGACAATCCCCACAATCCGCACGGCATGCGGAGGCCCTCATCCTGCAATAGATTGAAAAAGGGATGTACTTGTACAACAGACCCATAGACTCACATAGACACCCATAAAGTCATGCAGAGACCCACACACACAGACTCGAATAAAAATCCATTATGTATGTGTCGTGACATCGCTGGATGTCAACATGCTGGTTGCAGTGCCGGCCCTAGAGGGGCACGGCGTGCGGTGTAGCAACATCGCGGATACCACAGGGGTGTGGGTGTAGTACCGGCCCTAGAGGGGCCCGGTGAGCGGTGATTGATAGCGGTAGATGGCAGCACGCTTTGCGTGCAGTGCCAACCCCTACAGGACAGGGTGTGTTGGTGCCGGCCGAGGGATGAGGTTACTCGAGGCCATGGCACTCTGGTTGACCAGTTAAGTCCACCTTCTAGAATCCTCAGGAAGGATCTGGGTCCCAATCACGTGACCAGTTAAGTCTATGAAGGGGCCCCAAGTGGGGGCAAGGGGTGGTCACGTGATTGGGAGCCAGATCTTACCCGAGGATCCTAGAAGGTGGACGTGGCCAAGGGTGGAGCCAGCCACGCCGCGGAGAATATAAGCCGGGTCCCGAGAGGGACCGGCGTTGTTGTTCATCCTGGAAAAAAACCTTCTTCTACGTTCTATGTTCAACGAGTCTCCAACACGTGGACCCAGGCTGAAGCTGTTGGTCCTGGTCCATGGTAGCAGTTACGTTGTAACTAGTGTAGTAACTAGTGTAGTAATTAGTGTAGTAACTAGTGTGGTTAGCCTGAGCCTGGTGGTCACCACCATAGGTTGTTATTCTGTTAAGGGGAAAGTTACCCCGTGTGTTGGAACTGAAAAATGTGTTGCCTCTAAGTCTATGCCTGCGACTCAGTTGAGCCCATTACATATGTAGAACTTATTTCGCACCGCACGTAGCCAACTGTGCTAATCGGAGGTGTGGGAGGAGCACAACAAACTAAACACAAAGCAGTTGTAAAGAAATTATTTTCAATTTAGATTTAAAAGTGCATACCCCCAGTGGCTTCCTAATATTGGAAGGAAGAGTGTTCCAGACGGCCGCATAAGCGCATCTGGAAGGATTGATTGTCTTTGTTAGATGGCCAGCTAAACGCCGCTGTGAGAATGATTGGAGTTTGCATGATCGTTTATGCTCCTTCAGCAAGGTATTGTGGTTCATTTGTGGCAAGCACTTTGTGTGCAATGAGTGCGACCTTACGTATGCACAGACACCCATATACAGTACTCACAAACAGACCCATAGACTTACATAAACCCATTGACCAACTGGAATGCAATGGCTAATAAACATCGCGTTCTTACAAAAAACCATAGTCACATACACACCCATAGACTCACAGAGACCCATCGTCACATACACATAGAGACGCATAGACTCGCACAGAAAGCCATAGACTCAACACAGACATGCACAACTCACATACCCCGGAGACCCATAGATGCACACAGAGACCCATACATTTACACAGTTGAGACTAATAAACTCATACAGAGCCCCATAGACTAAGAGACACCCACTGAGAAACTGGAATGCTCTGGCAGTGGCGTCATCATCAGCGCTTCCTCCAGCACGCGGGCGAGCGCACGCAGCTCCCCAGGAGAACTGGTCTGGTGGGAATCCAGCGATGGTGGCGGTGCATCGTCATCCCACGTAACCTTTGGGTTCCAATTATCATTGAATCCACCAGCGCGTGGCACCTGAGAGTGGGCAAACGTGGAGTGGAGTTTTGTAGCCTCAACCGTGGAGCTACGTAAAACCACGAATGATACTGCGATACGTATTGTTGCCAGGGCGATGTTAAATACGGATGAGACGCGGGATGCTGCCACCTCCGGCGACCCCTTTTGGATGCCACGCGTGTATCCCGTCCGCCTTGTGCACGAAAGTTTTCGCGGCGCAGGAACGTCAACAAATTACAGGGACGGCTGAGGTGGCAGCATCGGCAGCATGTGCCGTGTGTTTTAATATAATAACACTATTGTTGTATTTCTTCGGTCTTGCAAAAAATATAAAAATAATAAAAATTAAATGAAAATTGAACTGTGTAATTTTCCGAAATTATGCTAAATTACGTAATTATTTATGCTAATTATGAAGGTGTAATTGTATTCAGTTATGCAAGTGTATGTAATTATGCTAATGTATGCAATTAGGCTTCGTTTTATTGTCTAGGGTTGTATTACCAATCGAGATAATACAATGAAGGTGTAATTGTGTGAAGTTATGCAAGTGTGATGTAATTATGCTAATTAGGCTCGGCTTCGTTGTCTAGGGTTGTATTATCAATTGGGATAATACAATGATTCTCGCTTTAACTTTTACTGATTATGTCTTAGTGTGTTTATGTCAGGTCTCAAAATTCAGATCTCAACGCAGGAAACAGTTCTTATAATTAAGATTATTAAGCATGAACTTAGGAAGGCACCACTCAGACACTTCTGTGTTAAGCAACTTTAATATCTAAAACACTCTAACATGCAAACACTTGTGCTTGGAATTGTCAACACAGTTCTCCTGTGGATGTCCTCGTCATTGATCCGTACATTTAACCCTCAATGGTTACGCTTGTTAAACTGGGTAACAGAACAATTCCTCAGAGTAAAGCGAGCATACACTGCGATGGGAAAAAGTCCTTAAAAATTAATGTGACAATATTCATACGAACAGTAATAAGGAAACATGTGCCTAAAGCAAAAGTCGTTATCAATGAATTCATTGGTAAGATTATGCAATTAACGAAAACGAATGACTAAAATACTTCTAAATGACCGTATTCATGTAACTCGAAGGGCAGCAATGCTTTTCACGATCAGCTGATATTTAACGCACCACCTTGGAATGGCAACCCTTCTTGAAACACGAAGATAACTTTTTGGAACAATCTTATTCGTCCCGATATGTGCGTTATGTGTGTGTGTCTTCTTTGCCACTTGTTGATTTAGCAGCTTGCGGTACAGCGTTCCTTGTGTAGTGAGTCCAACTGAGTCGCAGACGTTATCTTGGGAGCAACACTATTTATTCACGTAACCATACGTAACATAACACAACCTACGCTCGGGTCTCGAATGCCCATCTAGCCACGCTACGGCAGAACTAGACACGGTTCGCTATCCCGGTCTGGACCACAAGCTGGGTCCCGGACCGCGTGGCTAGAGGCTTCTTCTCCCCGACGTGGATCTTCGAACACCAACACTTGAAGAAGAACCCTGAGCTCCTCACTGAGCTCTCGTTATATACCCCCGGGCTGGGGCTGGCTCCGCCCTTAGCCCCGCCCACCTTCCAGGCTTCTCGAGCCCCTTCTCAAACGTTCCCGAGAGCTCTTTGGGACCACGTGACCACCCCTCCGCCCCTGTCCACCAGTGGCCCGCCTCCAGTATCCTCCGATCACGTGACAACAGGACAGCCAGAGTGTCATGCCCCAGGGTAACCCTGGCTGGCTGACGCTCACTGTCGCTCCCTCACTGGGAGCCGGAACCACACACTGCTAGTGTTGGTACTGCAGCCCGCAACCCGGGCTGCCCGCAATGACAACATTACCGGCCGTGACCCCCTATGTAGCTTCCAGCCGTCCCAGTTGCTAACTCTCCCAAAGCAAGCAACCGACGTAAACTAACATAACAACCAACAAGTGTGCTCCAACAACATAAGGCAACCCAACCCAACTGTACAATATATACACATGACAACAAGACCCGACAACCGCGGCGCACGGAATCCCCACAATCAACATCTCCCACCTTTAAGTGGTAACAACGCTCGTGAGCTCGATGGCAAGCAGGATCAGCCAAATACTGGCCATGACTCACGCGAGTGCGGCAGCCCATGACGGTGTGGGAGTGTGCAATCTGCAGGATCATGCAAATCGAGTCTTTGAACGAGTCCGTGACGCCGGTCCTCCAGACGGGTTGGGTTCGACCGCCTTGGGAGGGCCAGGGGGAGCAAGAAATCGACCCGACGAAGCCGGCTCCTCACGCAGAGCAGTAGGCCGGGTCATCGGGTCCTTGGCCCTCCGAGCACGTGAGGCCGACACGGGCGAGAGGGGTGCACAAACCAGCTCCGCTTACCAAACCGAACCTGGACACATTGGGGCCTCACGACTCGAATGACATCAACCGGCCCTGTACAAGGTTGCAGCAATTTAGGTGACGTGCCCACTGGCACCTGCAGACAATGCAACCAGGCCCTGTCACCCGGCGACCAATCGTGCAGGGAAACCCGGCCACCCTTGAGCAGCTCGTTGGGCAGCTGCGTGGACCGGGAGTTAACGCTGGCGGCTTCCCGCGCCTCAGAAAGTTTGCCCATTGTGAATCAAATCGAGTTGGAAATGCTTTATACCTTCGGGGTGGGGAGAGTAGCCGGTGGGCGTGTGCGGGGTCATCCTGTAAGCGGCAAGAACTGCAGGGATATGCAAATCCCAATCGACCTGCGACTCGCTGGCCATGTGACTCAACATGGTGGTCAGAGTCCGGTCCCAGCAGGTTGCAAACCTTACGCAGCAGCGTGGGATACTTTTGTTTTACCTTGGTCCGTCAATAGGCGCTCAGGAGCCCCCTTATCCAGGACATAGCCATTCAGGAACACGTCGGTGATAGCAACAGCCGACTGATTTGGGAGCACCCAAGCCATAGGCCAGCGCGAGAAATACTCGACGCTCACGAGTAAATATTTATTTCCACGTGCCGAAATGGGAAACGGCCCGAGAATATC